TTTTTTTTTTTTAAACAGTATAAATGTATCTTTTTTATATCAAATATATATTATATATAAATAATATAAATTAAAATGCTGTATGACATGTCTCAATAACAGACAATTACAATATATTTGATGTTTAATGATGAGCAGGATTTTCAACCAATGACATTTCACTGTAAGCGGGATTAGCAAGTGTGAAACATCAAAAAATAAATACATAAATAAATAAAAAACAGGCGATCATCTAAAAGGTCTTGTCACTTGTCATGGTTTGGGAAAAAATATAAGATTAACATGGAAGAGATAAGATTTATTGAGGCAGTGTATTAAACCTTTAACTGGTCTGCGGCATCATGATTGGCATAAATCCTCTGGGCGATGCCTCTGTTGTCCATAGCAATTCGCTCCAGGAAGTCGAAGTCTACGTCAAAACCAATACCAAGAGAGTATAGAGAAAACTCCTCCCTCATCACACGTTTCACGTTTTTCTGAATAGTGCTCAGCTTTATTTCTCCTAAACAAGATAACGAAAGAGAAAGAGTAGTTCACTGAGGACTAGAGGAAACTTCAGGGCATACAGAAATTCTCTGTTGTATAGTGTAAACGTTAATAAATCTTACCCACTGTCGGGTCTCCATCAGACACCAGAATGATCATAGACACAGAACGAGGGTCGATCAATCCATGATTGGAAGCTCTCAACAGCATCTGCACTGCTCTCAGTAAAGCCTCATTGATGTTGGTGCCTGGGGTTAAATACAGGGTCAGAGACAGTCCATTTTCAAGAAATGTTTCAACTTAACTCAAAAAATGTTATGCAAGAAATTCAAGGTAAAAAGTAAAATGTTTGTGTCTTGTCATTTTTATTAGTTTTCATTTTCTAAATATATGTGTATTTAGTTTTTAATAATTATTTCATTTAATTTTATTTCATTTTACTTAAAGGTCCCCTGAAATGCTTAGAAACATGCAGTGTTACTCTATGTGTTGACGTCATTTTAACTGAAACAGGAAGACAGGGCGGGACATATCAAGCAGCCCCGCCCCTTTTTAAAATAGCCAGTAGCATTCGTTTATATCACAGCTTGGGCTAGAGCCGTTCAGAGCCGTTGAGCTCCGTAAAGCCACATTTGACAGGGTATGCCAGCCACAATCTCATCCATATTATATATAAAATATAGCATTCTGTGTAGAATTCAAATAGCTCCGATCATGGGCGTAGCTTGTGGGGGGGCCAGGGGGGCCTGGCTCCCCCATGTCGTGTCTCTGGACCGGAGCAGAGTGCGACACAGGTCACAGCAGGTGGTTAGCGTGACACAGTGCGAAACCAGACTTCTTTTTTCCTCAATGGAAAGCATATTTACACTGTTAGAAGATGAAGTACGATGTGACGTCAAAAAAATCATTTTGGCGGAAACCGTTTTGGCGGAAGTGACGAACTGCAAGCTTTGAATGCTTATATCTTCTAAATGCGAATTTTGTCACTGTTTTGGAGCACACTGCCTTATAGATAACCTTAAGACTAACATATTGATACTAACACCCAAAAAACTTTTGGTTTCATGGGGACTTTAAACTAAATGAAAATTAGAAATGTTGCCTTGGCAACTAAAACAAAATTTTCAAAATTTCACCATATATTTCTCTCACCTCCATTAGGCTTGATGCTTTGGATGTACTTTTTAGCTTCGTTCACCTGGATGGAGGAAGCTTGGACCATATCTTCATTCCAGCAACGGACATTGTGATTGAAATCTATGATGCTGAAATAGTCATCCATTGACAGATCGTCTAGAATAGCCTTCATTGCCTCCACTGTCTACAAAACAAAACAAAACAAAACAAAAAGCTGTTAGGTAGCTCGTTTGTTTCTCAAGTTTTAAACTAACATTCACTGGTAATAGCATTCGCTGGTCAAAATATCGGCGTAGCGGTTTTCATGATAATCAAGAGCATTTTGTAATTAATGACATCACATTGGAATAATGTTAAGCTAATAGGCTAAGCTGTTAACTTGCTAACTAAAAGCACAAAGAAAGTGAAATGCTAAATTCAGCCATTTTAGCTGTGTGACATGCAATTTAAAATATATTAAGATTTTCTTGATTAAGGCAGCACATTCATTTACACTTGAAAGCAATTTTCTATCATTTCTAATCAGGCACTCAAAAAGTTATTAACAAAATGAATGAAAATCCCGGATTAATAGTGTATAATAAGACCTGATTAAATTTTAAGAAAGTAAACAGAGTCTAATTTGATGTCATGATCACTTTAAATGAGTGCCCTACAATTTACTTGACCACATGGTGGCAACAATACAATTGAAAATGCAGTTCTCCACTGCATCCACATGAAGACGTTTTCAGTAATGGACCACGTGCTGATAGGATGTATCTCCTGATATCTGCAGGATACTTTGAGTAAACACATCCATACCTGTTTCATTTTCAGCCCCCACATGCTTCCACTCACATCGATGACAAAAACAATGTTTTTGGAGAGAGGAGATAGATCAGATGGAGCAAAGAATTGAACAAAATGACCGTCAGACACCTGAGAGATAGAAAATACAGTGCATCAGCAATCGCAGGTGATGAAGTAAAGCATACTACATACTGTTGCACATACTATATTTGAAAAATAGCAGGCAATAGAGTGTATTCTGCACAGTGTGCATTAGGTATGTGCTCTTGTGTGGTTACCAGGAACGTTCTACAGTACAGTAAAGAATGGTTACTGAATAAAAATCATCAATGAATAGAGATAAGAATTTAAAAAAATGTTAACTGTCAAATTAAATTTTATACAGCGTGAGCTAGTTGATCGTACATTTATTTTGTATAAGGTTTGCCATTTCTGCAACGATACTATCAAAATTTGGGGCATGTGCAAATATAAATATTGATATAATTTAATTTTACTCTTTTTAATTGAACGAAAACAAAATTAAAGGGGTCCTATTATGCTCTTTTACAAAGTCTTGATTTTGTTTTGGGGTAAAAAAGCATAATAGGACCACTTTAAATTCCTTGTTAGCCTGCAAAATCGAATTTTAAATATCTAACTGAATCAGTGTTATTTTAGTATTATTGTGAAACTAGTTTTTATTAATATTTTAAATGTTTTTTTTTTCTTTATTTCCACACGGTTCCATACTATATTATGTTTTATGTCTATTCATTTTAAATTCAGTTTTAGTTATTTTAGTACAACTAAATGAATTTTTATTAACTATCTTGTATACATGATACTAAAATAACACAACCGCAGAGACTGGTGGACTCACACCTGATTGTGATTTGGTATGTCAACTATTAGCTGTAAAAGTGAATGTACATCCACACCTGAAGTTCTCCAGCATTGCTCTCTCTCTCCACATCATACGTCACAGTAAACACGCCATCCACTGCACTTTCAGTGCAGTTTTCACACTTGCGCTGCTGCTGCAAAGTTGGTTTGAACACAAGGTGGGCTTTTTCTTTTGTGTGGGTGATTTTGGTCAAATCTGAAAACTGCTCTCCCAGTGTGTTAGAGGCCGTGACAAACTTGATACCTTTGGGCTCAAATATATACACATCAACCTGTGGAGATACAACCATCATAAAAACACATTAACATCACACTAGAGGTCACATCACAGGGTTCATGACACAAATTAAGCGATAGCGTTAGTTCTGGCAGGTCACGTGAGTCAAGCTTGCATCAGCTGATTCTCAGCTGAATTTATGTACTGTGTGTGTTTATATGTGTGTGGAACTGACCTGCAGCAGTGGAACCAGGCGTCCAGGTTGTAAGTGTAGTGTGTGCTGGTAGACGCCCAGTTTCCTCTGCATCATTCCCTGATAGTGCAGCTCAAACTCCACTTTGCTGCCTGGAGGAACATGCACCTCCGTCCTAAAGGTCTCCATTGCTTGAGAGTTAGTCCTGAGAGTCAAAGGATTCTTTGATTAATAAAAAAGCTAAAAAAAGAACAGCATTTCAAACATTTTGTAACAATGTAAGTCTTTAAGCTCACTTTCTATTAAAAAAAAATTTAAGCAGCACAACTGTTTCCAACGTTGATAATAAATCAGCATATTAGAAGGATTTCTGAAGGATCATGTGACACTGAAGACTGGAGTAATGATGCTGAAAATTCAGCTTTGCCATCACAGGAATAAATTATACTTTAAAGTATATTAAAATAGAAACCTGTTATTTTAAATTGAAATAATATGTCACAATTTTTACTGTTTTTATTATATTTTTGATCAAATAAATGCAGCCTTGATGAGCAGAAGACACTTCTTTAAAAAACAATATATGTGCATTTATAGATCATGAAATATATTTTATAAATAGGAAATATACGAATCCAACAGTTATAAATAGACTGTACATATATATATATATTCAAATCTATAAATACAGAATATTTGCATGCATATCTAAATATATCATTATAGATTTAAACACACTGTCTAATAACTACTTGATATACAACTGTAAATCTAAATATATGGTTATACATTTAAATATATCGTATATGTATTAATACAGAATATATACAGTACATATAAATCCAAATATAGAATTGAAGTGAAGTTACAGACCATGCTATACCAAAAATCACTTCAAACTGAATTTTGCTAATTCATTTATACTTATTTTGCATGCAAAATTGTGAAAAATTACCAATTATACAACGTTAAATAAACACTTGATATTTATGTATATAAATTTGAAAAGAAAAAAAAAGTGTTATACATCAACTACCCACATATAAAAAGTAAATTCAAATTGTTAAAGGATTTTAATATATATAGACTGTTTATAAAATATATATATAACCAAACATAGTTATGAATATAAATATATATTGAAAGAGCTCATTAAGTATACAATATAGAAAATCCTGAATATATATTTGAACATTTTAATATCTGTGAAAACCCAGCTAAAGTGGGTGATTTTGGTGATTTACTGTTTTCTATATAAAATCATTCTTAATAAGGTAAAGAACATTCTGTGAAAATGTAACATTAATATCTTTATTACCAGTGTTGGGCAAGTTACTTCCAAAATGTAATACATTATATATTACGATATATAGGATATATTGTAAAAATTGCAATTTATGTTGTTGGGTGGATGAGCAGTACCTGACAATGCCTGCTGCTTTCCCACGAGCTCTTGCTTGAGCGTAAAGGTTCCGTGCCACTGACTTTTCCTTCACTGAGCCGGTGAATGTGATCCCATTGACATTCCTGAAAAGCAGCCACTGGTCATACAGGAAGCTGATGTGTTTGTGTGTGTGTATTTGTGTCTGTTAATGCTCTCACATGGTGAAGTTGTTAATGAAGGCCCGTTTGGGGATCTCCACGTTGAAGCCGATGCTCTGGGCGTTGGGGCCTGAGTTGACCACAGAGCTCTTGACTGTGGTGTGAGTGAACCGCGATGTGATTCTGCTCTCCACCTTATAGCTCTTAACTGTGATGTCATTGCCCTGAATTACCTGCATACATACACAAACAAAACACATTACATAAATCAAACTAGTAACAGTAAATTAAATAAGACCATAGAAACTGCCTAGCAACCATTTGTATACCTTAGTACCACCAGACATAAAGTTTGTCCTGAGGAAATGTACTTTTCTAGGTTGAAATGCTATATTTTGTGACACTTCTTGGCTTGTGTGAAAGTAGTAAACATCAAAATTGTTGCAAACTTGTATCGTTTGACAGGAAAATATATATAGAAACTTGGAAACCAAATCTAAGCGGGGGGGAAATGTCTCTAGCAGAAGCAGAACAGTAGCAGGGGGGACGTCATTAACCGTAGTGTCTTTAAACAAGCCAATCGATTATTAGATAAGATTAAAGTGGAACAACAAGAGCATGAATACCTCAAAATCCTCTTCTTCTTCACTGGTCAAAACGTTTCTCTACACACACAAAAAGAGAGAAAAAAATTATTTAAATTCAAATGTAAAAAAAATAAACATGTTAAATTAAATTCAAAAATATGATATGTTCACAGAACTGTAAAGTTAACAGATATGTTTACAGTTTAAAAAGGTCATATGATGTTGCTAAAAATAACATTATTTTGTGTATTTGGTGTAATGCAATGTGTTTATGCAGTTTAAGGTTCAAAAAACACGTTATTTTCCACATACTGTACATTATTGTTTCTCCTCTATGCCCCGCCTTTCTGAAACGCGTCGATTTTTACAAAGCTCATCGGTCTGAAAAGCGAGGTGTGCTCTGATTGGCCAGCTATCCAGTGTGTTATGATTGGCCGAATACCTCAAGCGTGTGACGGAAATGTTACGCCCCTACCATACTGTGATGCCCTGTCTGGCCGGCGTGACAAGACAAAAACAATGAAACCCATTACAAACTAGGCATTTGTTGCATCCAGTGGGGACATAATTACTGATTATAATGACTTACACTGTCTTTTTACGCGTTGCGTATCGCGCAGTGTAAACATAAAACCATGTCTGCCTTTGTGATCGGAGAAATGACAAACAAGCGCTACTCTACACTTCTCAAACTCGCGTTTGAATCATCAGTGGCAAATCCTTTATATATAAAAGTACTTACAGACTGTGAGTCAGAACAGCCGGCATTGCAGTCTACTCTACCAGGATCAGGAAAATGCGGTGCACACATCTGAATATTTGGGTTGAACTGTTCTGGAACAGTGTTGTAAATACAACTTAACCACTGACTTGTAGTCGTGTCCTCTTTTGGAAGACCAAACAAAGTAGTTTCGCTTTCACAAACGAAACACACCTTCACGACATGGCAACAGCGGTCACAACGAAACACACAGCGTCTTTATGACATGGCGGCGTCGGCAGCAACAACAATACTACAGTGAGAATAAAAGTTACGCCTTCTTTCTTTGCGTGAACATTTGGGCGGCGTTATGCAAATCTTCCCACATCGTGACGTAGACATGTGGGGGCGTGTTAGAATGAGCAGTTTTAGGTAGGCGTGGTTGACTCTTAACTTTTATAAAGAATATCTCTTTGGATTTGAGACTTTAGTCTTTGCAACTTTACAGATCTTCTTTATGCACCAAGAGCTTGTAACACTCCAAAGAGAAAGGAAAAATTGAAATCGCATCATATGACCCCTTTAAAATAATAAAAAAAAGTCTGAATTATAAATTTCGAAGAACTTAGACTAATTTTTTTTTTTTTGATCTGATTTTTTTTTTCAACAGAAAATAATCAAATTTAAAGAAATATTAATTGTCTGCCTCAGGAAGTCAAATTACATTTCATACAGTATGAGTCGGTTAATTTTACTTTTATTTTATATAAGGCTTGCAATTGTTGTAACCATGTGCAAATGTAAATATTTATATAATTTATATAACTGAAAAAAATATGTATACTATATATACTTTTTAATTAATTTTTTAATTTTTTAATTTTTTTACATCATTTTAAAACAAAATCTAAATATATAAAACTGATTCAAATATTAAACTGAATAAAAAAATAAAAAAATAAAAAACAGTGACATCTGACACAACCGCATGGACTGGTGGACTTACACCTGACTCTTTGATCAATGGTAATCAATGAAGGCCTCAGTGACACTATCATCACATTAAAACATTTCAAAACTGCTTGAACATCTTGGGAAAAGAAATAAACTACATAAATTATTATTATTATACAAATATGCTGCTGTATAATTTCAGTATATTTCTGTTCAAAATCCACTTTTAATTTCATTTTGAAGTTGAATATGAATGCTTACCCTGTATCTTCCAGAATGGTGGTACTGATCCAAAGGACCTGACTAACAAAATAACACACATACACAATATAGATTTCAATTTAGACGCACATTCAGTGTACTGACATCAGCATGCATGCACATAAATTTGCCTCTTTTTTTTAAGATTTCAATCTTACTGTTTCACTTTCCCACTCGCCATCGATGATAAACTCGAAAGCCCAGCTCTGAGAAAAGAGCAGGACACACAGAAGAACTGGAGTCTTCATGGAACCAGAGAAAAGTCCTTTCAGGAGACCACAAAAATTGCCAGCACAGTCCACACACATGCACACACTGACTGAGGCTAAATGATCAGCCTCTGCAGTCTCGGAGACCTCTGAGCCTCGTCAATATTTGTTGTGCCCCACATAACCAAAGAAACAGAGACAGGAACCTTTGAAACCTGACCAGCAGATGAACAAACACAATCCCTGGAAAGGAATGAGACATATCACACTCTTTGTTTCACATGTTGTCAGAACAATATTGCAATTTCGGACAATGCCATTATTTTCATGATCAATTAAGCATATTTTATCTCCCAAATTGTATTATATTGCACGTGAAAAAGTTGTAGTATATGTGTTAATAAAAAAAAAAATTGTGTCTGAACAGGATTCATTACTATTTTATTAAAGTACGAGTATGAATATGTACATATTCAAATCATATTCTTTTTTTCTTTCTTTCTTTCTTTTATTTTTTGATGACAGATATTTTTGTGAGAGTGACAATATAAATGCATTATATAAAACATTTATCAAAGCCATAGTCAATTCAGTGGTTAATTTGTTATTATTACCCAGAATATTGCCCAATCGCCAGAAACTGAGGCCATATCTGTGGTTGTTCTGAGAATAAGGTTATTCTCTTTCATTCGGATATTTCTATCATTTTAAATAAGGCTGTATCTTATCTTCGGTTCCTACACACTGCAAATACAGGTAAAACACCTGTAAAAAATAATATAATAATAATACAGAAAATTCCTTCATTTTAATACAGTACATTGTGCCCTATTTTTACAGGGTTTTTTTTCTTTTACAATGCATTTCTACACTATATTTATGCATTCATATGGCCATCTGACATAAAGTGACCCCATTTAGAATTTAAACACTTAAGCCACTGTTAAAAATGAGTGTCGCATTATATACAAAATGTTAAATAAGTAGAATTAATTTTAAAGAAAGACAACACAAGCACGCTATTCAAGCAAAACAATTAAAAAACGAGACGTTTTTCAAATTAAATGATAAACCACAATATACTGTTCAAAATAAAGGGAAAGGTGTTTGGACATGTATTATTTGCATAAGACAAGATTATTCATATTCCCTGATTATTTACCATCTACTGGAAGTATGGGGTATGCATTAATATTGTGGATATTGGCCACTATTTGGACCAGGGAGCAAAGAAATAAGAAAAACTAACAAGCATTTTCATGGGGGGTCCAGGAGGGTACAAAAATAAATAATATAAGGCCTTTCCGAACAGCCGATTAGAACCAAATAAAACATTTATTTCGTATCCCCTGCCTTTTCTTTTCAAATTTATTTTTTATTAAGTAAAAACTCCTCCAAGTCAATCAATCAATAAACTTTAATGAATGTATCTTTCTTACCACAGAGACCATTTTGCACTGCAAATTGTCTGAGAAAAGGTTTTGTCAGTTCATGAAAACCCTCAGTAAGAAATGAATGTCAGCAAGTCCATGCCTTTTTGGTGAACCAGTAATGTTCTAAGAGCCTCTCTAAAGGAGGAACTGTGTTGGAGCAACATTAGGAAAATCCCAATACTGTAAAAGACTTCAGAAGACAGCTGATGTTATTTTGAATCGTGTGACATATCATACATACAATCTAAAAAATGCTGGGTTGTTTCAACCCAACTTTGGGTCAAATATGGACTAACCCAACCGTTGGGTTAGACTTTTACATTCAATTTTTAACCCAAAAGTTGGGTTAGTCCATATTTGACCCAAAGTTGGGTTGAAACAACCCAGCATTTTTTAGAGAGTAGCTTCTGAAACACATTCATGTATAGTAGGCTACTGATAATGGTAAAATGCTTTATTGAAATACAACATTTGCTTCTATTTTGATATTACGCCATCATCTGGATGACCGTTCAATATGGGCGATCCCCAATCTTTACACTCTCTTCATTTACCACCTATATTCGATATGCCCTAATAATTTAACCCTCTACCGCATGGTGTAGCCATATGGCAACATACTCTTTGTGTTCATTTCCTTGCCACTGTCTCTTTAAGAGAACATTCTCGTTTTTTTTGTTGGAAAAAGAAGACCTTAGTTTAGCCAATGATTCATGTTCATAGTCTTCCTCTCAAGAGATTGCATAATGCTGAATTTTCATGAACTGCAATGTTTTTGGTTTTATGTCAGTGTTTTATGATACGTTAAATACAGTATTATATTTGTTTTAACTATAAATTTGCAGTTTAAATAATATTCATGAAAAATTTAATGAAATAGAAAAGAAAAAGATTCAAATATATATGTTTTTCTATAGGTCTATCATATTGCGTGCGGTAGAGGGTTAAATTGTATCCAATACATTTGGAGAGTTGATAGCTTTATATGTTTGTTAATCAATGATCTCGGTAAATGGTCTCTAGAAACCCCTCAAGAATGTCAAAATAAGGCTGAGATCACTGACTGTAATTGAGGACGCATAGTTTTTCAGTCTCCATATATTAGCATATACTTGTTGAGCCTGCAAGCAAGATATTTTCACTATACCTATTCAGCAAACCTCCTACTTTCACTTAACGTAAATAAAGTCATCGGTGAATTGTGTTTTAAAAAGACTGCTGGCAGGACACACGAGTTCACCAGAGCCAACGTCAATGAACTAACCTCAGATGCGCAGAAATCCAATCTGACAGGATCCTACATCTCCCTTCACGATCAATAAAGCCCGTCAATCCTGTAGATGGCAGCAAAGACAGCAAAAAAAAATCACGTTAGAGAATGAGGTTGGTGTGGAGCAATCACTAATAGGTCTACAATTCAATGAATTAATCAAAATGTAATATTATTATCACCTTGCACTCTTAAAATAAAGTTTATTTATTTATTTATTATAATTTTTTTTATTTATTTATCCCAGAGATGCAATTAAAGAACCATTTTGGGGGTTCCACAGATAACCTTTCATGGAACAGTTCTTATATATACAGTATATATATATATGAAGAACCTTTTTCCACTATAAAGAACCACTTGCTCAGACGTTGTAGCGCTGGAGCTCCGGGAGGGGTCCTGAAAGGCAACAATCCACGTCTACTACAACTTACGCCAACAGCACCACCTAATAGAAACGTGACAGAAGTTCAGAAGAACCCACTTGACTTTGATGAAGCAACCAATTTTAAAAACGTTTCTATCATCGTGATCTGCAAGTGTGAAATAACATAGCCTACATTCATTCAAATGTGCAAGCTTTAGGCTACTAAAACCTACTCAGCCCTAAATCCGACCTTATCGAGAAAATGAGAAGTTGGAAAAATAAAATAATGAGTTGCATTAAAACAAAGTGAAGTCTTTACAGCGTTTTTTTTTTTTTTTTCGAATTTAGCATGACAATAATTTACCATTTCCTATTGATTATGGAAATTATCCAATAAAGACATGCCAGTTCTTCTAAGCTCAACTACCCAGTTTATTACATTTGCGCAAAGTACTTCAGAAGATAAGCGCCAATCTCATGTTTGACAAAGACAGATGAGTGAGAATGTCGCAAGCGTCTAGACACCAAAAACACTGGAGCTCCCTCCCAAACACTAGTGTCTTCGGATGGGTGGGACGCAATAACCGCCCTTTTCACAGGACCACTGAAGTACGCTCGACCCACTGCAGAGAGCAGCCAGTGCGGGATAGGCGATTTCATATCTTAAGATGCTACTCATAGTCCTTGTCTTGTATTTGTGTCCGGGTTTTCAGTGCCAAACTGAGGATACTGAATTGTCAGAGGATGTGGACTTTGAAGAATACGCGATTTCTGACATGGATCCAAATGCTGTAGGATGTTTCTTGCATTTCGCATATGAAAATGTCATCATGAATAGTCATATCTAGGATCTCACCAGTCTTGTGTTTGTCTTCAGGCTCCTGTCAGAATCCCGCGGCAGGTGAAAACGCTTCTAACTAAGGTAAAGACCCGCGACACCTGCGCTTTCTCCATTTTAGTGACTGTAAAATAGTCAAGATTACTTTTTGTTTTACATATTGGTTATGTAAACACAAAAACGACCGTTTTACAACACCCTCCAACCATTTTACAACCAACAACCTTTTTTCACCCAACCCTAACTTGGTGATTTTTTTGCCCTATGTGTCTTAACTTTGATATATTCCCATATTTGTCTGCTATAAATAAGAGTAGGTTATAAACCTGCACATTACCTCTAAACTGTAAACTACTGTCAAGTACAAAGAGTATTGGTGTTACAACCTACAAACAGAATGAGTTGTGACTGTAGGTGGTGTGGGTTGTAACACCAATGGAAACAAGGACAGCTTAAATATATATATATATAAATGTCAAATTGTTACATTTTAATTGGGGGAAGTTGTCACATGGATGTTTAAATAATGTAAATGATACCAAATGAAACAATTACAATATGTGTTGTCCCAAACACTGATATTGTTGTTGTTGTGTTGTGTTTTTTTTTCATGATTGTTTTACTGTTTAAATGTTGTCATATTTGTTTCTATAGCACCTTATACAATTCAGATTGTTTCAAAGCAGCTTTACCGTAATAAACAGGAAAACAACAAAATCAGTGATGCAAACTCCATCAAATATGAGACAAATTCAAATTCTGCTGTAAGCTCTGAAAAGACAATAGTGTCATTATTCAGCTCAAGTCAGTTCAGTGTTGGTTCAGTTTAGTTCAATAACTGTGTAAAGTTCATCAATTATGAGAGAAGTTCAATTCAGCTATAAGCAGCTCTACTGAAGAAGACAATAGTGTCATTATTCAGCTCAAAGTCAGTTTAATGTGGAAAAGCCTTAGTTGTTTAGTAAAAAGTTAGATTTTGTAAACTGACCCCATATAGTGTGACAACAAGCCCCATCGTTTTCTGGACCACAGTTTACTACAGTTTAACTGTATCAACAATATTTGATATTTTGGCAGAAATTAAATGGGACATTTATGTGAGGACTTGACCCAAGTCCTCCCAGATCTTTAGGCAAACCACTTGGCTACATCACACATGTTTTCAGAACAGCTATTCGAAAATATTCATGTATTTTAATTATGGTCATAACTTGCTCCTGTCTGCCAGGAAACTAAACCTCACATTCAGGAGCTGTCGGTCCAGACCACCATCATTTCCCGCTATGCCTTCACTGCGGTGTCGTGTAGCATGCTCAACAGACACTCAGCTGCTACTCAGGGGGTCTTTCAGTTCCACATCCCCACCGCTGCATACATCTCCAACTTTACCATGTAAGTGTGGAAATATGTTTTTTTTTTTATTTGAGTAATAGAAATGTCTCCTGTGGGTCACTGAAAGAGAGTTTAATGGTTTGGCATAAATACAAAAATCTCAGTTTCCTGACATTGACCCAGGATATCTATGAGGTCTATAATATGCTACGTTTTGCGATTGGCCTGTTAATGGGTAAGTTGGTCAGTGATTCCAATACTGTGTTTATATCTTGAGAGAGGTTATTGAAGGCCCTGAGAGAGTTTAGACTGTCATTATCCATTTATATGCCACTTGTGGCAACATGTTGTTGTTACCATGGCATTAATAAAAATTCTCATTTCATGCTGTTGGTATGATGGCAAAGGATTGTGGGTGGACGAGTATTTCCCAGCCAGGTGAAGGCCAAAGAGAAGAAAATGAAGAAGGAAGGTGGAGAAAACAATGGCAAGAAGAACAAGAACACACCAGAACAGAGGTAAAGATAGCGAGTTACCCTCAAATGTTTGTGCCATTAAATTGAATGAGTCATTACTCAGGTAGCTAGTTATAATCGTTTCCACAGTTTAACTAACTTTAACTAACCCGCTCAGCAAGATTCTCTTCAAACTGTGGCTCTGCCATGACATCAGTTGTACTGAAAGAGAAAAGTGACCGCAGAAGAAGACTGCATATTTATACTCACTATAGCACCCCTTGTGGCAAGCCTAAGAATTCAACGTGTTTCATTGCGTTATTAACTGTTCAATATATACAAGAAGCGATGCAAAGTTTTGAGCCCTTTATTGTTTAAATTATTATATGTGTATTTAATTTGCTTGTAAGTGAGCAAACGAGAAATATGGAAGATACTGAGAAATCTGAGATAGATTTTCTCCTTAAGATCGGCTTTATTGAAATGTGGTTTGACAAACCTTGACACAGATTCCTTTGGCAAGAAGTTCAGATTTCCAGAGTAATGTTTTCTCCTCTTCTTGTCAGTGAGGGTGAGATGGAGGTGTTTCGAATGGAGGTCACTATTCCTGGACGCAACCGCGCTGTCTTCCTCCTGACCTACGAAGAGCTGCTGCAGAGACGATTGGGCCGTTACGAGCATGTGACCAGTGTTCGGCCGATGCAATTGGTCAGCAGACTCAGCGTGGGCGTTACTGTAGTGGAGCACTCTCGCATCACTTACCTTGAAGTCTTACCCCTACGAAACGGCAAAACTCCATCTTCCAATGGCAATGGGAAAGCAGATGGTAACCAGCTGTATCCAGTTTGATTCTTGAGTGTGTATTTAGATGTGCTGTCACTGGTATGGTTTCAAATATTTGACAATATTGCAACATTTAGCCTCAAAAACTGCAAGATAGATGATACCAGTTTCAGTTACATTTCTTCCACTTTTTCAAGTTTTAAAGACCAAGTAATTAAAAACAACAACAACAACATAAAAATACGTTTTCTAACAGGTTAGTTCAAGTTGTCAAACATGAAATGGTAATCTTGTCCTGCTCCAGGTAAAGTAGGACCACCCGTTTCCACAGTAGTCAGACAAAACGACACCTTCTGCAAGATCAGCTTCACTCCAAACATTGCCCAGCAGGCCAAGATTGCAACCAATGGCATGCTAGGAGAATTTGTGGTGCATTATGATGTAGAGAGAGAAACTGGCACTGGCATTGGTGATATTCAGGTACACATACACCCATACACATAATATGTTTCATTGTATATTATTAACATATATTGACATATATATGCATTTAAATATGCATTATTTGGTGGACATTGTGGCAGATTAAAATATAAAATAAAACTATTTAAATAAATAATGAATTAAAAATAATAATAATAATAAAAAATACAATACTATATATATATATATATATATATATATACACACCCCAACAATATACGTGATGCCAAGAAATTCATCTACATGATCTCACCCACTGGAGGTAGAAAATCTTACACACTCCTAAACACACCCTGTTACACATTTAAACCACCTAATTTAATCAAATTTAAATAATTTAAAGCAACAGTTAAAAAAAAAAAAACACACACACACAAAACAACGGTGTTGTTTTTAACTGAAATAAATATAAATAAAAAAAATTATGAAAATAAGAAATGCCTTTGAATTTGAAGTACTAAAACTGCTAAAACTAAACCTGAAATGAAAATAAATTAAAGCTAAATAGAAATGTTTCAGAAAAACAAAAACTATTAAAAATGACAAAAGCACATAGCAAAATTACTAAAACTTAAACTAAAATTAAACTGAAAATATAACAAAATATATGTACTATAAGTTATATATAAGTTATAGTATATAATACAAAATTTACAGAATTATCTATCTATCTATATATACTGTGTGTGTGTGTGTATATATATATATATATATAGATAGATAGATAGATAGATAGATAGTATGTTAAATACATAATATAGTATAAATTGTTTCCATGGAGTTCATTAAGAAATATTTCTGAAGAATCTGTACAAAGAAGCCACACATAAAGCTCCGAAAGTAAAACATTTTCATAATAAAAGAGATGTATTAAAGTCATTGTACAGAATGTATGAATTGCATTTTTAACATATTCATGCATAAATTAATAGGACAAAAAAGAAATAGTCAACTGCAAAAGTTGAATGGACTAGATTTATGGTATTTTATTGTGTTTTTGTCCTTTTTTGGAGCTTGACAAATGTGGTTACTTTGAACTGTTGGTAGACTGATTTGGAATGACATGAGGATAATTAAATAATGACAGTTTCAATTTTTGTTGAACTCATTTCCTCTTTCATTTAAAATCTTCTCAGGCACTGACATCAATGGTGGCATTCAGGCAGGCTCGGCCTTACTCGGTGACTACCTCTCTAGCAAAGAAGAGTCCCATCACAACAGCGTGTCACTCATAATCTTCCTGACCGATGGGCGGCCCACAGTTGGCATAGTTCAGAGTCCGGCCATCATTGGCAACACCAAAGCAGCAGTGCAGGAGAAGTTCTGCCTCTTCACAATTGGGATGGGTGATGACGTGGACTACAGGCTCTTGGAGAGGATGTCCCTGGAGAACTGTGGAACCATGAGGAGAATCCCAGAGGATGCAGATGCCAGCGTCATGCTCAAAGGGTAAGGAACATGTGGTCACCATTAAAAATATACTTGTGTGAGTCTATGAACTTGAGTCTATGAGTTTAGCAGAATGTCTCAGATGTTATTTTGAACATCATGAAGCTTCAAAACTGACTAAAAGTACTTCAGAGTATAAGTAAAAATAAACTATTATTTTAAAGTATCATCAGTGGATTTGAGTCAGATAACAGGGCCTAAAATAAATGCTCGCAAAGTGCCAAATGAGGGTAAAAATCAACTCTGGCGAGTATATGAAACAGTGTTACTCACCAGCTGGCCAGTAAATTTTTTATTTTATGAATTCTAATTTAATTCATTAATTTTGGCTGGTACATTTTCTGAAGTCACTGGCCATTGGCAGGTGGAAATAAAATAAAATTTGCTACTAATCTGAAAAAGCCTAGGGCAATGTTATATGTGACCCTGGATCACAAAACCAGTCTTAAGTTGCTGGGGTATATTTGTAGCAATAGCCAAAAATACATTGTATGGGTCAGAATTATTGATTTTTCTTTTATGCCAAAAATCATTAGGATATTAAGTAAAGTTCCCTATCTGCCGGTCACTACGAGTTATGTCGAACAACATATGGGGTCTCACTTGGGAGGCCAATCATTTCTGATTTTAAGAGAAAACGGCAATGAAAATTGGCTAGTGGATTCTGCATACCTGAGCCACTCCCCGTGCATACGGGTATAAATAGGCGACAGGTGCGTCCACTCTTCAGATTTTTGCTTCGGAGCCGAGTAGTTGATGTTCTTCACTACAAAGCCAATTCATCTTTGTGTTGAAAGAGGGCTGTTCCTGGTTGGTGTTTACGGTGCAGTACAGCGGTGTCCCTGCAGCAGTGATTCCCCTGGGCGCTTCGACTGAAAGAGCAGTTTTTCCTCTAAAAGAGCAAATCACGGACGATACACGTCTTTTACAAGATGCAATTTCGTCCGTGTCCTTCTGGATGCGGTCGTTTCCTGTCCTCTGTTGATGGCCACGATCTCTGTCTTCAGTGTCTGGGCCTTCAGCATGCTGAAGCGGCGCTCGTGGATGACTCATGCGTATGACCATGACATCGCTGCGATCGCGTCTCTCTCTCCTCAAGGGGAGTGGAGCAGACCCCTCTGTCACTACCCGTCCTGGTTTCTTTGCCACGAGCAGAGGACCACCGGCTAGTGCCCTGGGAGATTTGAGGGTTACAGTGAGAACTTCTCCGCCGGGCCACGCCCCACGGACCTCTCACTCCTCCCGCAGCGCATGTCCCGTGCATCTGCCGGGTGATTCTGCTGGGCCGTCTCGCGGCGGTCCCAGCGTGTCATTCGGTGGGCGGCCAGAGGATGAGATGTCGATTGCAGCATCGGGGGATGGGCTATCGGCCTCTGAGGATGATGATTCGGCGGGGCTGCCCCCCTCGAGTGTTGTCGCCACTGCCGAATTGGACCCAGAGCTGTAGGCCATGCTTGCCAGGGCAGCTGTAAGCATCGGGTTGGAGGTGACTACACCGCCCAGCCCTGAGCACTCGCGGCTGGATGATTGGTTTCTCGGCGCGGAGCACGGCTCACAACCGCGTTCTGCTCCAGTTCCTTTCTTCCCGGAGGTGCATGAAGAGGTGACGAAGTCGTGGACGGCCCCTTTTACGGCCAGAAGCCACTTGTCTCTCTCTTCCGTCCTCACTACCCTCGATGGCGGGGCAGCTAGGGGGTACGTTGACATTCCCCAGGTGGAGAGAGCGGTTGCGGTGCACCTGTGCCCGCAAAACGGCGCCACTTGGAAGAATTGTCCACGTCTCCCGTCCAAAGCCTGTAAGCTGTCGGCGGCTCTCGCTGCCAACGCTTATAGTGCTGTGGGCCAAGCTGCCCCTGCCTTGCATGCCATGGCTATCCTGCAGTACACCAAGCCAAGGCGCTAAAACAAATGCACGAGGGTAGCACCGACCCGAGGTTGAAGCAGGAGCTGCGCACGGCGACTGACTTCGCCCTCTGGGCGATGAAAGTCACGGCGTGGTCCCTCGGGAAGGTGATGTCCACTCTGGTGGACATCGACAAAAGTACGCTTTCTCGAAGCTCCCATCTTCCAGGCTGGCCTGTTCGTCGACACTGTCGAGGACTTTTCCCAGCAGTTCTCGGCAGTACAAAAGCAGACTGAGGCCATCCAGCACATCCTGCCCCGACGTGATCCTCCAGCTGCCACCGTTCCGCCGCGGGCTGTGCCTCAGCCTGCTTGTCGCCGTGGGCGCCCTCCTGCGTCCTCCACTCGCGCTGAGACAACGTCGAGGCCGGCGCATCGAGCTCCACACAGGAGAGCGGCACCCACCATGTTGCACCCAGCCGCTAAGTCCTCCAAGAAAACGACGAAGCGGCCCTGACACGGGCAACCCGGAGATGTGGGCAACTGCTCTTCACGAGGTGGCGAGGTCAGTGCCGCTCCTTCCCCCGGAGGAGGGCCAGGTGGATAATTCTTTGTTCCCTTTTCTTTTTGTTCCGCCGCTGGCGTGACCACATTTTCAAAGAAAGAGCAGTTTCCTTTTCCTCCGGGTTGCAATGCTCGTGGGTCGACAGTGAGCGACGGACCGCTTCCTCACTCTCACCCACGACGTCCCCTATCGCCAGTGGCCAAGAGTTCGCCGTTCGGAGAAGCAACGCCTCTCCCCACGCGTCTCTGGCCAGTCCCAGGGGGAGTTTTGCTGTGATGATTCAGAGCGTAATGCCTTCTGGGCCACCCAGCGCAACTCCCCATTGCTGCACCACTGCAGGTACGTCGACTGCCTTTGACACCCTTTGGTGCCACTCATACGGAGTTTGGGAGCGTGGCTTGCGTTACCCAACCCGTCCTGCTGGCTCATTCGGATGGTTCGACTCGGCTACGCGATTCAGTTCGCCAGGCGACCTCTCAAGTTCAACAGCGTTATCGAGACTTCGGTGGCAGTCCGAGATGCCTCTGTCTTGTGCGAGGAGATTGCTGTCCTGTTGGCGAAGGATGCAATCGAGCTGGTCCCTCCAGCCGAGATGAGGAAGGGGTTTTACAGCCCTTATTTCATCTTACCCAAGAAAACCGGTGGCCTTCGACCTATCTTGGATCTGCGAGTCTTGAATCGGGCCCTGCACAAGCTCCCGTTCAAAATGTTGATGCAGAAACGTATTATCAAATGCATTCAAGCCCAGGATTGGTTTGCAGCGATCGACCTGAAGGACGCGTACTTTCATGTCTCGATTGTTCCTCCGTTCCTACGGTTTGCGTTCGAGGATCGGGCATGGCAATACAAGGTACTTACCTTCGGGCTCTCCCTGTCCCCCCGTGTCTTCACGAAAGTCGCGGAGGGCGCCCTTGCCACACTATGGGAAGTGGGCATCAGGATCCTCAACTATCTCGACGATTGGCTCATCATGGCCCGGTCGCGAGAGGAGTTGTGCGATCACAGGGACCTGGTGCTTCAGCACCTCAGTCAGTTGGGGCTTCAGGTCAACCGAGAGAAGAGCAAGCTCTCCCCGTGCAGAAAATCTCTTATCTTGGTATGGAGTTAGACTTGGTGAGTATGACGGCATGTCTCACCAACGAACGTGCCCAGTCGGTGCTGAACTGCCTTAGTTCCTTCAGAGGCAAGACAGTGGTACCACTGAAACATTTTCAGAGGCTCCTGGGGCATATGGCATCCGCAGCCGCAGTCACGCCGCTCGGATTGCTTCATATGAGACCACTTCAGCACTGGCTACACTCCCGAGTCCCGAGATGGGCATGGCGCCGCGATACACATTGTGTCACCATCACACCGATGTGTCGCTGCCTATTCAGCCCCTGGTCGGACCTTGCTTTTCTATGGGCCGGGCTGCCCTTAGAACAAGTTGTCACGACAGATGCCTCCAACACAGGCTGGGGCGCTACGTGCAATGGGCAGGCAGCCTCGGGGTCCTGGACAGGACCTCGACTGCTTTGGCACATCAACTGTCTGGAGTTGTTGGCAGTGCATCTAGCATTGCGGCAGTTCTGGCCGCTGCTGCTGGACAAGCACGTGTTGGTCCGAACGGACAACACTGCGGCTGTTTTACACATCAACCGTCAGGGCGGTCTACGATCACGTTGCATGTCTCAACTCGCTCCGCCATCTCCTTCTCTGGAGTCAGACGCGTCTCAAATCGCTGCGAGCCGTCCACATTCCGGGGGAGCTCAATCGTGCGGCCGACGCGCTCTCAAGACAGCCCACTTTCCCTGGAGAATGTCGACTCCATCCCCAGACAGTTCAGCTGATCTGGAGTCGATTCGGGGAAGCTCCGGTGGGCCTGTTTGCTTCCCACGAGTCCTCCCACTGCCAGTTGTACTATTCCCTGACCCAGGCCCCCCTGGGCACGGATGCACTGGCACACAGCTGTCACCCTCCACCTTGAAAGTGTATGTCGCTGCTATCGCAGCACATCACGATGCAGTGTATGGCTGGTACCTGGGAAAGCATGACCTGACCGTTAGGTTCCTGAGGGGTGCCAGAAGGTTGAATCCTCCTAGGACACCCCTGATACCCTCCTGGGATCTCTCTATTGTCCTGGCTGGACTTCAGAGGGGTCCCTTTGAGCCGCTTGATTCAGTTGAGCTAAAGTTCCTGTCTCTTAAGACAGCGCTCCTGATGGCGCTCACTTCCATCAAGAGGGTCGGGGACCTCCAAGCATTTTCGGTAAGTGAAGAGTGCCTTGTGTTCGGGCTAGCCTACTCTCACATTGTCCTGAGACCCCGGCCTGGATACGTGCCCAAGGTTCCCACCACTCCCTTCCGAGATCAGGTGGTGAACCTGCAAGCGCTGCCCCCGAGGAGGCAGATCCAGCCTTGGCGACGGGTAGGATGTGGTCTCCGTAGCGACCTTTTCCCTTAAGGCTCGCTTCCCCATTGTTCTGCCAGGCTGAAAGAACAAATAGGAAAGATTTGAAGCAATCTTTCACTGAAGGTTGAAATCCCTTCCAAAAACTTTTTTTGTGGACGGAACAGCAGCATGGGCTTCACCAGCAGCGATGTACTCACTGTTGGTCCCCTTCGGTACCAAGGTCAGTGAATTTGCGCTGGGGCTTTGGGAAGGTTACGGCCTTAGCGTAACTTTTGTGGCATGCCACGGCTTGTCAACAATTGCGGTGCCACAGGGTTGAGACGGTGTTCAGGCATCTGTCGCCTATTTATACCCGTATGCATGGGGAGTGGCTCAAGTATGCAAAATCCACTAGCCAATTTTCATTGCCGTTTTCTCTTAAACTCAGAGATGATTGGCCTCCCAAGTGAGACCCCATATGTCATTCGACATAACGTCTCCGTTCCCTCCATCAGGGAACGAGGGTTACGTACGTAACCGAGACAATCATGTTCCATGAAGATATTTTGTAAATTTCCTACTGTAAATATATCAAAACTTAATTTTTGATTAGTAATATGTTTTGCTAAGAACTTCATTTGGACAACATAAAAAAAAGGCGATTTTCTCAATATTTTTTTGATTATTTTTTTGCACCCTCAGATTCCAGATTTTCAAATAGTTGTATCTCAGTCAAATATTGTCTAACAAACCTATCCTAACAAACCATACATCAATGGAAAGCTTATTTATTCAGCTTTCAGATGATGTATAAATCTCAATTTCAAAAAATTGACCCTTATGAGTCCAGGGTCACATATTAGGTAAGCACAAGACAACTCAATGGTACACAAAACAAACCAAAAATAGAGGTTGGCTATTTTGACTTAGACTTGTAAACAACCAACCTAGAAACCATCTAGCAACACCCTAGCAGAACACCCTAACAACCATATAGCAATGCACTAAAACACTCAGAACATCAACTGCATAGCAACACCCTGGCAACTATTAATAATTTGAGGCAAGTATGTTGGCATGTGTGGCATTTTGTGACGAAAAAACCCCCTTAAAGTCAAGGATAAAGGTCAAAAGTGATATGAGACTCCATTGAAAGACTGAAATCTTTACACAAGGCTTAACAGTTGGGCCCCACTCTAAAAGTTCAACAAGTTTAACATAAAGAATACATGACTTATTAACCCACAATCTGAGGCAAAACTGTTGCATTGTGACCTTATTATTCCTTTTCTCCTCTCTTTACCGTCTTCTCGCCTATCTTTCACCTACTATCTCTCTATAGCTTCTACGATGAGATCGGCACTCCATTGTTATCCGACATCCGGGTGGAATACTCTGAGGATGCTGTGGAATACATCACCCAGAACCTTTTCACAAATTACTTCAACGGCTCTGAGCTCATTGTAGCTGGAAAACTGACCAATCACAGCTCAGACTCGTTGCATGTTCAGGTTACCGCCAGCAACAGCGAGCGAAGCATCGTGCTGGAGAAAGACATGTCAATACACGAGCGAGAGCAGGAAACCGAACGGCGGCTAGCGGAAGCGGAGGCGGGTCCAAATGTGAACGGTTACGTGGAACGACTGTGGGGATACCTGAGTGTTAAAGACGGGCTAAAAGGACGACTGCGCAGCCAGACGAGCGCAGAGCGGGAAAACTACACACAACACACTACAAATCTGTCGTTAACGTATAATTTCCTCACGCCACTCACACAAATGATAGTGGAGAAACCACAAGTGCTGGCCGATGCGAGAGCAGGAAACCGAACGGCGGCTAGCGGAAGCGGAGGCGGGTCCAAATGTGAACGGTTACGTGGAACGACTGTGGGGATACCTGAGTGTTAAAGACGGGCTAAAAGGACGACTGCGCAGCCAGACGAGCGCAGAGCGGGAAAACTACACACAACACACTACAAATCTGTCGTTAACGTATAATTTCCTCACGCCACTCACACAAATGATAGTGGAGAAACCACAAGTGCTGGCCGATGGAACTTTAGCACAGACACAGAAAGAGGCAGAGGCCACCGAGGCTCCGCCCCCTGCTGAGTCATCCAGTCAGCTGTCGGAAGACGACAACAATCTAACACCCCAGAGCCTGCACAGAAATCAACCGCCCAAGCCAACTTCTGCAGTCTCCAAGGCAACAAGTGTGTTTATTTAAATTGGACAGAAAGTAAAACATTTGTTTTAGATCAGATTTAGGATCATTATGACTGTCATAACACAATCGTATTGAAAATATTAAGGTGACTCAAACAATCCATTGACGATTTCACTCTTCTCCATTTATCTCCAGGTGGCGTCAGCAAACTTACCAAAAAGTCTGTCACCTTATCCAAAACATCCGGTATTTCTCAATTTTTCTACATCTGCTTTGCATTTCAGTGCGAATGTGAGTGAGTGTAGCTGCAAGTGTCAGTAGTGTCTGTTCACAACGACTGGGTGGCTTGTAATTTGTTCTGTTCAGGTAAAGGGGCCTCGTCAGAATGCAGCTAATTGCTACTGAGAGTTGTGTATGGGCTCTAATTCACATGCCTGTGTTTGGGAACTGATGGGAAAAAGGCAGGATTTCAACAAACCCCCAAGTATTAAACTTCAGAGCATAACTCATTCCTCACTCTTTGTGCTATTGATATGAATTAGGCCTCAAATTGTGCATCTTTATTAGTTTCATCTTTATTTTTCAAAATACTTTATTGGCTTGATTGCTACACACACAATATTACCAAAGCAAAGAAAAAACAATACAAGCAGTGACCCAAAACAACAACAAAAAAAGAAAATATATTGATATTGATAAATAAAAGTAAAAGAAAAAAGTGAAAAATAAAAGTAAAAGGTGCCACTAATGCTAACAAAACGCAAAACAAACAAACAGCTGCATAGCAACACCCACACACACAATATTGCCAAACTATCAATACAAACAATACAAGCAGCGACTAAAAACCAAAAAAGAAAATATAGTGATATTGATAAATAAAAGTAAAAGAAAAAAGTGAACAAAAAAGTAAAAGGTGCCAGTAATGCTAACATAACAAACAAACAAAACAAAATGAAACAAAGCGAACAAATAAAACAAAACAAGGAGGCAGGCTTTTTGACAGTAAGCAACCGCACTAGCAACCTCATAAAAGTGCACTAAAACACTCAGAACACTGCATAGCAACACCCTGGCAACCATTAATATTATGTAGCAAGTATGTTAGAGTGTTTGGCATTTTGTTGTATGCACAAAGCATCAGAATACATTGATGCAGTCAGTATATGTGCACGAGCAAGATGTGCATGAGAGATTAGTCTGCAGTATTCACAAAGAGTCTTTTTCAAGTTTTGAATGGAGGAAATCTGGTTGATGCATTTATCACAAGTAAAACTGGCCTCCATTTGAGTTGAATCGGAAAGCTTTGAAAAGCCACTTTTCTGTTGGCATGATTTGTGATCTCATATCAAATGTTGCATAAGGACAACCACACATCAGACTTGCTAAATGTGAAAATTCACAGGGGACTTTGGGTTGCACATAACCAACAAACTTGCATAATTTGATTTACTTCCATGCAACAAAGTCAAGTAAAAAAATAAAAATAATAAATAAAAATAAAATATATTCACACAGTGTTCTACAAATGGTCCATATTCAAGTAAAAATGGATTAAATGATATCTTCGGTATCATACATTATCTTCCTATCTGACTTTAGCTGATGGCGACCCTCATTTTGTGGTGGAGGTACCCCACAGTAAACTGACTGTGTGTTTCAACATTAATGGGGAGCCAGGACACATTCTCCGACTCGTGACTGACCATAAACACTCAGGTAAACAACTGAAATACACTTTTTTTAGGAAGTATTTACACAGTATTTTACAAGTATTAACTTTTTGCTTTGCTATTTATTGAGCTTTGCATTAGTGACAATTCTTGGCCAATTTAAAGGGGTAGTTCACCCAAAAATGAAAATGTGTGTATGTGTGTCATCATTTATGCACCCTTAAGTTGTTCCAAACCTGTCAGTTTCTTTATTCATGCTGAACACAAAAGAAGATATTTTGAAGAATGTTGTAAGTAAACTGTCGATGGTAGCCATTGACTTCCATAGTATTTTTTTTTCCATAATATGGAAGTCAGTGGCTAACTGTTTGAGTACCAGCAATCTTCAAAATGTTCAAAATTTATACAGGTTTGGAAAAACATGATGGCGACTAAATGTAATATTTACATTTTAATTTTTGCATGAACTATACCCTTTGAGATTAAAATTGTGTAAGCTGTCATTCCATATCATAGTTTACTTTAGATTTTATATTCAGAACATTTTATTAACATATTATATATATATATTTGGACCCTTGACATGAATATGTATGTTTTGTCCCCATTAGGCGTGACTGTGAACGGTGCACTGATTGGAGCTCCAGCCCCAGCCGGCAGTCATAAAGAACAGAGGACATATTTCAACACCATAACAATAGTAGCCGATAAACCACACCGCTCTTATATTGAGGTGACCCCACAAAAGGTCATACTGGACGACCGGGACCGGATGATCTTACCATCCAGCTCCAGCATTTCCGTTCAGACCGCAAACCTGGGTGTGGTCATTATTGCTAACACAAACCTGACAGTGACCATTCTAGGAACTATCCAGTTTGTCATCTTATTCCACCATTACAAAAATCCAGCGCCCTATCAGCGGGATCACCTGGGGTTTTACATCGCTAACAGCAAAGGATTGAGCAAGGATACACATGGGTTGCTAGGTAAGCAGTAAGCACACGTACACAAATCTAGTTGTAATGTTGCGGGAACTTGAGAAAACAAGCAGAGGTGATCTACATGCAGGGAGTTTAATTAAAGGCGATTCCGGAAAGGCTAGCAATAGCAAGCTAGCTTTGAAAGCAAGATCCCACTCTCCCTGCAAATCACTCTCCAGAGTGTTCCAGAGACTCACACACACACTGTGCATGGGGGGTTTTCAGGTTACAGAATAGATAGGAGAACATTATCACCAGAGACCTTGTGAGAGACACACATTTCAATAGCAGAACAGAATTCAGTTTTCAATCTTTCTCATAAGAAGTGAATGCTGTGAAATTAAGACCATTTTACCAAACATTTAAAATTATGACAAAAATGAAAGGGAAAAAACAATAGATTCACAAGATACATCATATGTAGTATACTGACATTCTTAGTGAACTTTCAGTGACTTGAGCCTGGTGGAGGGGGAGAGGGAACGCGGAGAGAGGGACTCATAAATAAGAGAGGAGAGAAGTTTAGGCAAGGTGGTGTCCTTTGCTCTTTCTTGGAGATCTTCCCTCCAGATTAGTGAGTTTTATTGTTTTATTGCAGGGTGTTTGGTTTAGTGTCCTGTCTTAGCAGGAAAACCATCCTTACACTGATAGGTGGAGATGTCTTTACAGAATCGTGGGGAATGTAGTTTTTCACCAGGAATTCCACTGTTAAAAAAAAAAAAAAAACACTGAAACAACAGAAGCATATTATCATTGAATAACAACCTCGTAGCTCACAGTAGGTCTGTGGTTAATCAGTTCCCCCAGGGAGAAAATGAATGGTGTTTTTCATTTAGAAACCTGACTGTCTTTAATGTGTAACGTTTGATGTTAGCATGTTGCTAAGCTAACATTGTAATGCTCTTGCCATAAAAACACAGTACACCAAATTTTAAGTAAAAAGTCCACCGTAAAGAGGTTCAACTTTTTTACTGATACTTTACAGTACTGAATGAAAAAGTTCATTTATTTACAGGCCACATTTCTTTAACTTTGTCGGGCATCTTGGATTAACCTTTTCAGCAAGTTTGTCGCAGTAAATTGTGGCCTTGTTTTCTCCACAAACATGCACATGAAACTTAAAAATGCTACCTACGTAGGCAGCGCCCTAGGCTTTGGAACAGATCTACAAAAGCAAACACAATTTCTACATATTAAATGAGAGACACATTTTTGTACTTACAGGCCAGTTCCTGTATGAAGACATTGGATTGACGCAGCTTAATGGAAATTTCAGCATGGCCAGAGAAAACAGCACACAGGAACCACTAGGGAAAAATATCAGTCTACCCAGCTGCCCTGCACTGAAGGTGAAGGATCGTACTGTCACTGTCATAAAGAAGAGCAGGCGAATCTACTCTGGAAAGCAGACAGTAGACTGCTGGTTTGCCAAAAACAATGCGGCTAAACTGATTGATGGACAATACAGTGATTATGTTGTGTCACATCTGTTTGACACAGGAGACTGGGCTAATGGAACCAACACACACTAAGACAAACACACACACACACACACACACACACACACACAAACATTCAGAATATAATTCTACCAGACTGATGGTCATGACCCAGATATATTCACACAAACACTTTGAAAACCATCACAAAGACCCATAAGCAGTATTTTAAGTAAATGATTTATATCTGAACATAATACTTTACTGTTTTTTATCGTAGTCATCTACAAATATATATTATATTTTTTTTTTGTTAATATAATGAGATGAATGAACTCATTTTGTACTAATAAATGTTAACAATAGGCTGTCTTCTTTTTGGTATAGAACACAACAGTAAGGATAATAGAGACTGGGCTAATGGAACCAACACACACTAAGACAAACACACACACACACAAACATTCAGAATATAATTCTACCAGACTGATGGTCATGACCCAGATATATTCACACAAACACTTTGAAAACCATCACAAAGACCCATAAGCAGTATTTTAAGTAAATGATTTATATCTGAACATAATACTTTACTGTTTTTTATCGTAGTCATCTACAAATATATATTATATATATTTTTTGTTAATATAATGAGATGAATGAACTCATTTTGTACTAATAAATGTTAACAATAGGCTGTCTTCTTTTTGGTATAGAACACAACAGTAAGGATAATGAAGTCTAAATCTCTGTAGAGAAACAGATTTTTAGTAATAAGACAAAAATACCATGACCTCTGAGATTAAGCAATGAAATATGCTTGTAATTTTAATGTTTAGATATAGACAGACAGACAGACAGACAGACAGATAGATAGATATAGATAGATAGACAGACAGACAGACAGACAGATAGATAGATAGATATCAATGCGATAAAAGAATTGTCACAGTACCCTTAATAATTACTTAGTTAATGATATATTAAAAATAGCACTGATATTTTAATGCGATAAAAGAATTGTCACAGTACCCTTAGTAATTACTTAGTTAATGATATATTAAAAATAGCACTGATATTTTAATATTTTAAATTGTATTCATTGGTAACATTAAAATAATAATTGACTTATTGAATCCGTCAGAATTTTGATAATGTGCATCCTCACTTTTGATTTACTAATGTTACTGATGTTTATGAAAGATAAATACTAAGTTCAACAATAAATTCCTAAAAGTTTTTTTTAACACTTTCTATGAGGCCCGTATTTATGATACATTACAAGAGTATTCATAAGACATTGCAATAAATGCATAATGATAAAAATAAATGATAAAACAACAACAAATCTATAATATGTTGTATCATCTCAATAACCATAGCAACAGTTTTAATACATTATAATACTTACTTATTTGTGGTTATATGGCTTTTAAGAGTATGATGATTTATAACACATAATAAACACATTGCATCCACTTAAGTTTTAATGGATTATATAGTTATAATGTGTTATAAGTCTCATATCTTGCCATTGTTTAAGATCTGCACAGTACATCTTAGTGTTTTTACTGTAAAATACAAATACAGATTATTCTTGTAAACCTCCAACAGGCTTTATAATGTGGTAGGGGTGTCCAATAATGACAAAAAAAAAATGATATCTCAATATTTTCTGGAATTTTGTCGATTGCCATAACTAGAGTGTGTTATTGTGCTGGTATTTTGGCAGGTTTAGGACTGCCGTGGACAGCTGACTCCCAAAGCTTTTGATATTCTTTATAATTCTGTGTGGTGGTTAGTTTGCAGGAAAAACTGAAAGTAACTTTTCCATAGATTTTTACCTTTTATGGGCATTTTTAAAATGTTGAAGAAATCAATACAATTTAACAGCTTAAAAATTCCCAAGTTTTCAGTTACTTTACAACATGTTGTACATTTTCTACATTACACATTTGATCAAACTGTTATTCAGCACACTGCATGTGTAAAAAAAAAAAAAAGAAGAAGCCCATAATACTGTACAATGTTTCAACTTTACAGGTTAAAATACAAAGATAATCTGGTCGTTCACTTAATACTGAATATTCACAAATGGTTTTATAAGAAAACGTTTTTTCTTATGAGCATATCCGTCATATAAAAATATTCTAGCCTGTGTCAGAGCTGGAAACATGGTTGTAGTGTGTTTACAGCGAGGTGTTCGTCACAAGTAGTGTCATGAGCTGTTTAGACTTCAAATGAAAAGTCTGACTGTCTGTAATTAGGAAAAACACTAGACCTCCTCTCTCATCCCTCTCTCTGTTTCTATACTTTTAATTAACTTCTTAGAAGTATGAACTCTAAAGGACATGGAGGATCATGTTTCCCTTTAACAACTCGTATGCTAATAATTATCCTATACTGATTATACATTAACATACAAACATATATACAATCATCCTACAATGTAATTTGAAAGTAATTCATAAAAATGCACTGCTACAATTCAACTCTCTTTCTCTTTCTGACAAATAACATGGACCTGAACGATTTTCTTTTTCAATATCAAGATTTTAGGTTGAAGTTTATATAAACGTAAAGCAAAATATATAACTTATGTGCTGTAACTTGTCAAATGGTGACCATTTTAATCACATTTTTGATTCACAAATTCTAATAGCCTGATATTGATATTTAAAAATACAAATATTCCATGTAGTATCTCAATTAAAATGAGCACACATTTCATATAAGTTGCATGCATAATAATTATAAAAGAATGATCAAAAAGCAGTTTTGCAAGAAGTATAGCACGTCAAATCGCATTATCTGCTTAAAAAGTTGTCAACCTTCCAGCTGCTCCAAAATCTAGTGAGCTACGTACATAGACAGCATTTTCCCCTTTAACAACTCTTATCACAATGTTTTGTGAACATATCTTTATGATCACAAATGATGACAAAACAATCCCCGCTCACACACATCCACAAAAAAAACGACTAAAAACACTCTACGTGAACATAATACGCATGCACATGTCATCACCATCTTCATCACAAATTCTTGTTTTTATAGTTTACACGAGACCATAACAGTACTGTTTTTTTTTTAAATTGCACTTTGAAACACATTTTGAAAAGTTTGTGGTTTCAGACCCCCCAAAATGCTGTTGTGGTGTACATAAGAGGTAAAAATGCATAAAAAAGTTTTCAGATTTTAGTTGAGAATGGTGCTGTGTAAACACCCCTCAATTGAAATCAATTGTAAGTCTACTCTCTAAAGTGTACTCCCACGAAAAGCATCCCCGCTCACACACATCCACAAAAAAACGACTAAAAACACTCTACGTGAACATAATACGCATGCACGTCATCACCATCTTCATCACAAATTCTTGTTTTTATAGTTTACACGAGACGATAACAGTACTGTTTTTAAAAAAAATTGCACTTTGAAACACATTTTGAAAAGTTTGTGGTTTCAGACCCCCCAAAATGCTGTTGTGGTGTACATAAGTGGTAAAAATGCATAAAAAAGTTTTCAGATTTTAGTTGAGAATGGTGCTGTGTAAACACCCCTCAATTGAAATCAATTGTAAGTCTACTCTCTAAAGTGTACTCCCACGAAAAGCTCTATTTTAAGCATCATTGGCACTCTCCCAACAAGAAGGCTGTTCCAAACCACACTAGCATACAAATTACATAAATGAAATGTTGATGATAAATAAATACACTTAAAGTTCAATTTCATTCAATACTAAAAAGTATCTATCAATCTAAAAATGGACACTTTTACATAGTATCGTGTCAAGTATTGAGCATTGTGTTGATAGCTTAGCAAATGCTAACGTCACACTCTCTTGGTATCAACCGAGTCCAGTCTCCAGTGTGAAGATAACGTGTGTGTTGCAGAGTTTATACTTAATTAGAGTATTCCAAATCAGTCACTTATGAGTTTCCATTTGGAAGGTATCTGCCTATGCAGGAAGTAAACAACAAGGCCGCTCACTAGGTTTAGGAACAGAGATCTAGCGTTTAAGAAAGTATACTTCTAAACGAGTGTGTTCTAAACTTCCATTCAGACTTGTATTAACGCCTCTTCTGTTGAGACGTGCTCTTCCCGTTCAGAACACACTGTAGCATCATCTTCATCTTCCTTTAGCAGCACCTACACAAACATATAAACACAGTTTGAGGTCAGCTGAAGAGCCTGGCCAGATTTTACACATGATCGTTTTCCCGTTCGTGTGAGCTGGATCACTTTATAGTTGCATAAATCTACTGACTATAACACCACAAGCCCAGATGCATGGGTTCAGCAGGAGATTGACACTAGACCAGTTGTATATGTTCTCGTTCATATCGGCACTCATCAAACATATTTGGATTCATTCTCTATAGCATGAGCTTATGGAAACATTTTCCAAATGTCACTGCTCCCGCTGAACAAATGGATGATTTGTGAGCAGCTGGCACACTTCCACAACTGGAGGAGTGAGGGAAAGAGGGATGAGAAAAAATGAAAGCGGAGACGAAGAACACAAAGTAAAAGAGATGGCAAAGACCCTGTATTGCCCAACAAATGGAAACCATTTGACCCTACAGGTCACTGGCCTTTGGAAAGGTCTTTGGTCAAATGACGAAGATATTAAAAAAATATCTGTCCTGTAATCACATTCATATAGCACAATCCCACCATTCAAGAAGAAGAATGCAATACACAAACACACAATCAAACTATTCAGAAATAAAACATTCATTTCAGCTGGCAGATTTCATTTTAAATCATATGCAAGAGTAAATCCAAGCTAATAAAAATTAAACTGGTCCAGTGGTTTTTAAATAGTTTTGCTTCAGGACCCAGATTTTACACTGGGCATCAAGTGGCTGTCTGTAAAATCAAACATTTTAATTTATTAATATTATACCATAAACCGCATAAGCCCAATAATATGGAAAATTATCAATGTAACATACAGGTGCATCTCAATAAATTAGAATGTCGTGGAAAAGTTCATTTATTTCAGTAATTCAACTCAAATTGTGAAACTCGTGTATTAAATAAATTCAATGCACACAGACTGAAGTAGTTTAAGTCTGAATAGGCAAAATAATGCTGAATGTTGATGGTTTCATGCTCTTGACAGCTCTTGAGTTCAACACAGAAAACACATTTTAGTCTGTCTGTCTGATCATTCTAATGTGTATTTTGACCTAGAAAGTCTAGGTCAAATTTAATTTTGTTTTGTGTATTTTTTATGATTTTTGAGGATGAGGTTTCTGTCAATTGTCAAGTTACACATCTGTCTTCTACTCTTCTGTCTCAATTGGATAATTTCTACATGTTTTTTTTTTTTAGATCAATAGCATAAACTGTGCCACTCCTCCATTGTAAAATGTAGTAAATCCATGGCATTCTACTTATACACAATTATATGGTTAACTGCATTTTATTATTTGCATTAGCTTTGTTTTTCCTACTTTATTCTACAGGCCTGAGACTAACCAGCTGAGGACCACTGAATTAATCCAAACTAGGATGAAATGTCCACAGGGACAGATATGGGGAACAGGGTCATTAGGATCAGGTTAAGGAATTTTTACTGACTCATTTGTACCTGGATCTCAACACTGATTTGATAAACACAGCAGGATAAAGAACATCCTAGGGATTGCACATGATGAAATGATGAAAGCTTTTGCAATTCTCTTTGGGGCCACAGAAATGGCACGCTTCACTTCAAATCCTGCAAGAAGTGACCCATGAGTAAAACATGAGAATGGGCATTTTTGTTACCTTAACGAACTACTGTACTGCTACCTGACCATTAAAATAACTTACAGACAAAATGTACAGGCTGTCATATTAAAGAACATTTTCAACATTATTAAAATTTGTAAATGTAAATTTTGTCACAAAATATTTTTTTACAGCACACTACTGCGAGCTACTTTAACCCAGGTTACACAAGGACTTGTCTCTGTATATAAAGTGAACTGTAAGTCAAAAGCATCAGCTACTTTAAATGGCAAATAGTAATTAGTCAAGTAGCAATTACTGAGCTATACTATAAGCACACACACTAAACTACACCACACTGGCAACAACCCTTTAAAAATGGCTTAAAAATGGATAAAGACTACAAAAAATGTGCTTTGGTTACATTTCACTGCTTGATAGTGTGATACACCATATAACAATAAACATTACAATTTTGGTCAAAACACCAATGTGAAATGTGCATTTATTGGGACATTACATGAATATTCTCACCTCAGCTTCGTCATTGCTCTCATTTGGCAACACCTCTACTTGCTTAGGACAGTCACGTGAGCCCTCCAGAGACGTCCTTTTCTTATATTTCCGCATTGTTAAGCTGTCCACCACCCAGAACATTATAGACTGAAACACATATATTTACAGAAATAAGTTGCATTATAGTATATAAAGAAAGATTGATAGACAGACAGACAGACAGACAGACAGACCGACAGACCGACGATAGACAGACAGACAGACAGACAGACAGACAGATAGATAGATAGATAGATAGATAGATTTCATGCATTAATCTTGAATGACTCACGTTGACAATGAAAGGCACGATCAGCATGACAATGGCCAACTCCAGCTGTGGGTTTGGGATGTAGTCCAGCACCACCTCCTCCAGCTACAACACACACAAACACACCAGTTGTCAACGCTTCAAGAAATATATGTCCATCTGATGAATAATAAATAATAATTAAAAAAAAAAGTCAAACATTTTCTAGAAAGTCTAGACACCCTACAGTGAGAAAGTATGGAATTTAATGTATTAAATATGAATTGAAATAATAGCATGTACAATTATACATACTATTAATTAATTTTTTTCCATTAAAATTTACAACTCGTCTCAAATTGCATATACACTCTCAGAAAGAAAAAAGGTACAAAGCTGTCACTGGGGCAGTACCCTTTTAAAAGGCACACTTTAGGTACTAATATGCACTTTTAAAGTACTAATATGTACCATTTAGGGGTAAATACGGTACAAAGATGTATCTTTTAGCTTTTGTACCTGAGGCTACTGCCCCAGTCACAGCGTTGTACCTTGTTTTCTGAGAGTGTATTAAGTATGTAAATAAATAAATACATAGCTTATTTCACTGAAATTAAAATAAGCCTTTAAAGAAAATCATGCATAGATAATCTATTATTCCCACACTAATCCAGATGAAATATAATCTCCGTAGTCTCTGTCCTCATGTCATCCTTCCATACTAGTAGAATGTCCTTCAGTACAAATAGTAATTTGTCTATTTACGTTGATTCATAAACAAAAAGAACAAAAGATACAGATGGGACTGACTTGTTTTTTTTTTTTACACAAGCACTGAAAACATTCAATATCCCAAACAGCATTTTGTGATCGTTTTGAATGTCATTGCATTAGGCAGGAAAATATCCAAAACAAATTTAAAAAATATTTGGATCAGAGACCGATTCTAGTTTTGTCCATCCTAGGCTGGTATTATGAAATATTGCAGAGGGAAATGATGCCAGTGGTGTGTGACGATAACAGGAAGTTTGAGTGTGTGATTGTTTATCTTACATTGGTCCACCCGGGAATGAGCAGCACCAGAGTGACCACACTTTTCTCCAGAGCAACAAGGAGTAAATACACTGAGCACTGAGCCAACCAGGCCGCTATCCGAGGAGGATCACCTAAAAGACAGAAAGAGACATTCAAAAAATAACTATGATTTATTACATTTTCTGAAGTGTTTAACACTGTTGAAATGTAGTTGCTAAGGGATCAGTAGCAACAACAAAAAAAAAAACGGCAAGGTAAACAATGCAAATGTTGCGATCAATATATAAGACCACAAGGCCCTGCGATCTTTCATTAAATAAATATATATTAATTTATTCATTTACTGAAATATGTCAGTAAATATATAAATAAATACATTCATTCTACGAATAAGTAAACCAATAAATAAACCATGTAATGTGTCAATAAATAAATAAACCATAAAATATGCTTATAAAATGAATAAATATATATTTCAATAAACAAATAATCATGTCAAAAATACAAATAAATATATGACAATGTAAATAATTTTAAAGTTATATATATATAAAATTCATGAAACGTGTCAGTAAATAAATCAATATATTAATTTATTTAATGAATATGCATATAAAATAAATACACAACATGTAATTTTTATTACATTATTACATTATAATAATTATTATTTATTGAAACCTAGAATGGCAAGTACATTGGTGCTTTTAATGAAAGATTTATTTATTTGTTTATATGGCACTCAATGTTCTTCCATATTTAAAATAATAATAATAATAAATTAAAAAATAATTATCTTTAACTTATAATGAGGGAATATGAGGGAAAACAAAGTGCTGGTATTTTTTTATTATAGTATTAGGACTGTTTTTAGCATTTGAGCACTTAACTGATCAGCCTCCGAATGTTATGGTAAATTGGACATGGCGCACAGTCAAAACAGGGATTCAAAAACTGATCTAAGCAGAAAAACAGTCATGAACAATTGTCTGGCCAAAATCATATGAAACGGTGGGCGTATTCCATCTGCTTTGAGTGCATGTGCACACGTGTGTGTGAATGTATGTGTGTGTAATTAGATTTTTTTCTATGGTGTTTTACCAAGGAAATCCCTCACAGGGAATAAGCAAATGTGGGGATACTACCCAAACATATTAGAAATGTAAATCATACAGCGCCCTCTAGTGGTAACAAACGGCTTAAATAGATGCATCAGTTTCTCTTTTGTTTTTGTGGTCATTATGACAGCAGTCTTGGACTTTAAACTGACCCCTTCTCCCCACTGTTCACCCATTAGAACCAGCTTCCATCAGTGTAACTCACCATATTCTCCAAACATCAGCAGTGTTAGCTGCTTGTGTTCCACTATCTTGGAAACAACCTTCACCCCCACCCAGATCACCAGCATTCCCAATGTGGCATCCAACAGGAAGTTCAACAGATATCTGTAAAAACAGAAAAGGGCCATTCGGTTGGTTTAATGCCAGGTTAAAGCAATAAACTTGACAAATAATTAGGCTACTAATTGACTCACAGAGAACAGGGATCTTCATTGGTGAGTGTGGACAAGAAAATATTGGCAAAATGCATGCAAAGAGCTCCAATGGCCTGCTTTGACGTATCAAAGAACCTGGAGGGGAAAAAAAGAATGAGAGTTTGCTCTCTTTTGTTCTATTATTTTACCATAATTCTTGACTAATGTTTAATATTATTACCAGATCCTCCACGATCTTCTTACTCCGACAGGTTCACGAAACCTCTTCACTGTAAAGACAAAGATGTAGAGAAATAATCTTATTGGTAAGATTTTTTGTTTTGTTTTTGGAAAAAGTTTCTTATGCTAACCAAGGCTGCATTTATTTGATCAAAAACACAACAGAAATAGTAATATTGTGAAATACTATTACAATTTAAAAGAACAGTTTTAGGTTTGAATAGGGTGACCATATGTCCTCTTTTCCCCCGGCATGTCCTCTTTTTGGACCTGGAAAAATGCGTCCGGCCGGGATTTCTTAATCACCCAAAATGTCCGGGATTCGGCTGTTTTCTTAGTCCCGCTCACAACATGTTTCGCTACCGCGATTTTCGCGTCCACTCCTTTAAACATTCTAATATTGTATAATTTTGGCGTGTCAGGGACCTGCTCTCAATATGTGGAGTATTTAAATCTCTTTTGAATGAGCGTTTGCGCTGTTCACTTTCACTTTCGATTTCACGATCACGCGCACTCTGTGTAAAGGAAGCACATCTTACAAGATCAGATATTTGTCAATGAGCTCAGGATCTGTTGAGCAGCAAATACACAAGCATGGTCTTGTCAGTCATCTCTCCTTATTCTTGACCTGTGATCAGTCAGATCTGACTCCGGAAGCTCTTGTTGGATGTAGGGTTGCCAGGTCCGCGTTCTTTCCACAGAATTGGGCTACTTTTAAACTGTTGCCATGGGTTGATTTTCCCAAGTGGGTTAAAGGCTTGAAATATTACATAAATTACATTTAAATGAAATGCTTGTATTGAAACATTTTGCATTCTACCTATGATAAAACTTTCACAGACTTTTACATTAACTGTTCCCTCCTGGTGGAATGACCTGCCCAACTCAATCCAAGCAGCTGAGTCCTTAATATTTTCAAGAAACAGCTGAAAACACATCTCTTTCATCTTCATTTGACCCTCTAACTCTAGTACTCTCTATTCTAATTCTATTTTAACTATTTGTTTTATTTAAAATGAAAAAAAAAGAGTATTTAACACTAGCATTCTCTATTCTTTGTCTATTTTTTCTACTTATTTTCTTTTTATTTATTATAAATAATGACTTGCTGTGATCAAAGCTCACATGGATATCACATGATCCTTCAGAAATTATTCTAATACGCTGATTTGCTGCTCAAGAAATATTTCTGAATATTATCAATGTTGAAAACAGTTTTTGCTGCTTAACATTTTTATGGAAACAATGCTACTTTTCAAACATTTGTGTTAAGTTAAAAAAGAGAGAAATGAATACTTTTATTAATCAAGGGTACATTAAATTGATCAAAAGTAATAGTGAAGACATTTATAATGTTGGAAAAGATTTCTATTTACTAAGGACTGTGAAAGTGGGAACCACCAGTGGAAGGCATGCTGTCCTAATACTAACCAGTCAGAGCTCAGGTACCACCCAAAATGCTGCAATAACCAATCAGAGATATTATATATAATGATGATTGCAGTGAATTAAAAAATATGATCGATCGTCGCTGTCAAGTCTGAGTACTCTAGTACTCACATCCTTATTAAACACACAAACACTCAGTAAAGTATGATGTACACCGCATTGATGTGTACTGTAAATTAGGGCTGCACGATTAATCGAATGCGATTGTCATGCGCATTTTGATAGTAATGCCGGTTCTGTAATCAGCAGGAAATCATCATCACGTGCTTTCAGATGGAGCAGAATTTACTACACATAGCCGTAGTTCACTGACTGTTACGCAAAAAAAAAATCGCAGACGATTCTATTGCGCGATTATGAAATCGAAGAAATCGTTCGCGATAATGACAGCTGTTTGCATAGCTTCTCAGTGAACTACGGCTCTGTATAGTAAATGCTGCTCCATCTGAAAGCATGTGAAAATACATTTAATAACATATTTTGCTGCTCCATCTGAAAGCATGTGAAAATACCACATTTAATAACATATTTTTTACTCCAAACTCACTTCATAATGTCAGTCGAGTGTTTGAAATAAATCCTTCTGTGAGATGATGTGGCTTCTTACACAGAATAAGGCACGCAACATATTTCATAGTATTTAAGCAGTGATAAAGGCATTGCATTATAAATATACTTTATTTTAATGAAAATTATAATAATAAGAACTCAGATGAACCATATATTGCCGTTGTCATGTGTTTATTAGTCACGTTGAATCAATAAAAGCAGTTAAATCTTCTGTTTATTCAGCTGCAGTGATAGGCATTTTCTGGGTTTCTTCTGCGAGGCGTATTTGGAGTTTCAGTGCGAGAGCGCCCTCTGGCCTTTGGATGGAGATTTACTGCTGATCACAGAACCGTGCTTCACTGAAAGATACGCATGACAATCGCAGCTTCTGATCTGGAAGAAATGGGGCCATAAAGAACCTTTTCATCAGTGGTCCTTTAAAAAGAGTTCTTTGCAGTACCAGAAGCCCTCTCTGATTCAAAGCGCAGGTCCAAACACGCATGCACGGAATCAAGCGCGCTATACTCAATATTTCACATAGGTTTATGTGCAATGACTGTAAAACTGTTACTCTTCCCATGCTGTTCATTAATTACATGAATTAAATGAGTTCATTTTACTTGGAAAATTGGGTCCCACTTTATATTAAGTGGCCTTAACTACTATGTACTTACATCAAAAAATAAGTACAATGTACTTATTGTGTTCATATAGTACTGCAAAACACTTTTGCTGCTACTGAGGTGGGAAACGGGTAAGGTTAGGGACAGGTTTGGTGGTATGGGTAGGTTTGAGGGTAACACCAAAACTCTGTGTCAGAAGCTGAAAGACATATCTGGATGTTTTTCAAATATGCAAACAGTTAGTCTGTAATCAACAGCCAAACAGAAGCAGGATGATTATTGAATGTCTGAGGAAACAAACAGTGATGACGTCAACAAAGATAAGCAGCCAAAAAGAAGCCAGGAAGTGGCCAAAATAACAAAGAGGAAGTACGTACAGTAAAAACACAAGCATAAGCAGAGCTCTGAAAGTGTTTATAAAGTACAAATGTCACAGACGGAACTTCTCCCAGCTTTTTTTTTTATGAAAACTTTCTTTTCCTGAAAATGTAAGCTAAACCAAAATTATTACTGGAATATATAAATAAATAAATACATAAATGCACGTCAGTCATCTTATAATAACTAATGATTAGGATATTTTTCTCTAAACACAGCAAAAAAGTTTAATGATTAACAGGAACAGCACAGATCCATGGTAATGAGTAACTCTAGAAAGGTCAGAGGTCGTTTACCATGTTTTTGGGGTTATTTAGTGCATGACCAAAAAACAAGCTGCTTTTGAGAAGAATTAGAAATTTACATTTTACATCCTTTGGCAAAAAAAAAAAAAAAATGTGAGAGATCAAAACTCACTGCCATCATGCTGGGATGTTGCTATAGCATATATGCGGTTGCTTGGTCCATTTTTATGATATTTTGCTCTCCAACTTGGCCTTTATTCACTTATTTTATCATCCAACAAGTAAAAATCAAGTCTGATTGCTTAGAAACATAACTTCTCCTCAATAAGCACAGCAGCATGATTTGACTTCTCATTCCTGTCCGTATACCCCAAATGTGGAACAAGTTACTCAAGGTTTTAATGACTACATCTAACACCTAAGTAAATAACATTCTAACACCACCACAATCACTTTAGAAATGATCAGTAGCAGTTTGAATGAAGTATTGGGTCAGAATTACCAGATATTAACTGAGCAAACACTATAGTGCATCTTTGGACTGAATGACCACATGACATGGTTAGATATTGGGAAAGAAACAAGTCTGGACCTTAGGGTTCAAACTTGAAAGGAAGGTCACATGACTCAAACCCTCCAGCTGGAAACAGAAGCTTGAGTTTGGGATCTGAGCATCGCATGAGCTACAGGAGTCGATGCTGTTATCGTGTGTTATCACACAGCTAAAGAATCTTATCTTGGAGTAATACTCGTACCACACAGAAGAAGAGTTTTATTTGTTGCAAAGTAAAATGATACTTTATTAAGGTGTAGTCAGATTTGCAAAATCCAGTCATTTCAATAGGAATCCACGCGACTGGGAATTTCACATACGGATGAAAGAATTGCCCATGCAAATTTCACAATAGAAAAAGAAAGTAAAAACTTAATCTTCCTCATTTTCTGCTGACATATAGATACTGGCTAATGTCAATCAAGAAACAAATTGATCTTTAGGCACTGTTTTTGCAAACTCTGGTTTGTTCATGATCCAATCAATCACAGTTGATAAAATCAGCCTACATTATTTTCTCACTAATTATCCTTTTGCACTGAGAAATACACCACATTACGGAAGCAAAAAGGGGTGAAATTCATGTTTACTTTGAGTGACAGTCTAGAGTCCACAATCAAAAAATTATCAAATGTTTATGAAATACTGCATTCACGGGTTCCCACAGCTTTTTGCCAATTCATTTCTATCACTTTTCCAGTAGTTTGTGATTACTTATATATTTTTAATTAGAAGCCAAGCACCGAAGGTGCGTAGGCACTTATTGAAACCGTTAGTTTTCTTCTTCTTCTTCTTCTTCCGCTCTTAGGTCTATGGCAGTCCATAGAACCGCCTGTGGGAAAGTTGTGAAATTTGGCACAATGATAGAGGACAGTCTCATCATTAACCACAGCAAATTTAGTGTCTCTAACTCAAACTCTCTAGCGCCACCACTTGTCCAAAGTTTCACTCATGTTTATGCTAATAACTTTTGAACCATAAAGTCTAGAAGAAAAATTATTTTTTTCCTCTGAAAATTAAAAAATCGTAAGGTCTAGTCTTTTCGCTATTTTTAATAGCTCGAAAAAACAACTTTTTCGAACTCGTCCTAGACGGTTTGTCTGATTTTCACCAAAATTGGCTCAGATCATCTTCAGACCATGCTGGCAAAAAGTTATGGAATTCAAGTTGATTAGTCAAACTGTTCTCAAATAATGCGCGAACGAATTTGACGAAGAGCATGTAAAAATGGATGTGAGGCTATATCTCCTCAACGGTTTGGCGTATTGAGACCAAACTTGGTGTGTGTTATAACAGCCATGACCTGAGGCTACCTGCACAGTTTTGGCGCTGTGCCACCTAGTGGTGAGGAGATTAAACATTTTTTATTTTTGCTTATAACTTCTGAATGGTTTGACCAAAATTCAAACTGGTCTCTTTAGATTTGGTGCGGCATGCCGAGTCGAACCATACCCACTTTTCCCATGTCAGGCATTTTTTGCGTCGGCCAATTTAAATTTTGTCGTAAAATGCTATGTTTTACGAATGCACTGGCATATCGTTACGAAACTTGGTATGTGTCTTCAGCACCATGCCCTGACAGTACTCAAAGTCAAAGTCCCAGGGCAGCGCCACCTTGTGGTCAAAAGTTATAATGAAGTTTACAAAAATGCTAATAACTTTTGTTTCAATTAGCCTATATGAGTAATATAGGAGTAATGAGACTGGTCTTGACAGATTCCTTGGATCATGCCGAGAACATAGATACCAATTATGCCATAGTTGGTCAAACTTCCTGTCCGCCATTTTGATTTATGTTGTAAAACTACTTTTTCGAACTCCTCTTAGACCATTGGTCCGATTTTCACCAAATTTGACTCAGATCATCGTCAGACCATGCTGCCAAAATGTTATGGATTTCGTGCCGATATACAGAATGGTTATCATTTAACACATCAACGAATTTGCTGGAATGATGCCAAACTGCATCTGAGGCTGTATCTTTGCAAAGCTTTGACATATTGACACCAAACTTTTTATGTGCCATTGTCACGTCACACTGACCATGCCACATCAATTTGGTCACAACGCCACCTAATTTACCCGTCACCCGTTTTTTTTTCAACTTTTTCAAACTCCTCCTAGACTGTTGGTCACATTTTCACAAAAATCGAGTCAAATTATCTTCAGACTGTGCTGACAAAAAGTTATGGATTTCGTGTTGATAGACAAAACCGTTTATGCATAGCGCCGCAACAAATTTGAGGCATGATGCCAAACTACGTCTGAGGCTGTATCTCTGCAAAGCTTTGACATTGACACCAAACTTTGTGTGTGCCATTGTCAACTCACACAGAACACATCACATCGATTCAACAACAGCACCACCTATTGTTCAAACGTGATAAGCCATTAAATCATATTACTAGAGGTTGTATTTATGATTTCAGCCATTTTAACCAAAATCATCAAAAATGGCTTCAATTACTAATTTCTGCAGTTGGTCTGATGCTTGCTTCTGTAGTGCTTGGCCCTGTAATTGCTGCTTGCAGCAATATTTTTCATTACTTTTCCAGCTCTAGAAATCACCATTTTAAAATACCCAAATATTTCCCTGTTTTCCCATCACCATTTGAACGCCAAATACGATTTTACCAGGTGACTGTAATACCAGATGCTAGTCACCAGGTCAAAAAGAGTCTAAATGTCCTGTTCCTCATTTGAAATGAAAATAATGATGAATGAGATGGGGACTGAAATGTGGTTTGATTGAGTGAAAGAAAAACATTTCATAGGGCCCACATTTATGTGTATGCTATGTGTGTAGATTTGTGTGTATGCTGTCTAGGTTTTGTTTATTTAGGTCACTGAATGATATTATAATTATAATGTGCAGTGTTACTGATAAAAAGTCATTAAGTTTCCTTATTGCTTGAAGCTTAAACACTTCAGACCTTGAATTAGCACACAATGAGCATGAAAAGCATGAAAAGCACCAGGAAAAAAAAAAGATTACAAGACATATTAACCAAGGCAGAATCAGAATAACTAAAACAACCACCATTTTCTCTGTACTGTAAATATTTTTTTGTCAATTTGTTTTTCCATTTTCATTGTTTTCACTGTTTTTTAAATATATTTTTATTTAACCTTTTTTTGTCAATTTGTTTTTCTATTTTCATTGTTTTCACTGTTTATATATATATAGGGTGCTCCGATTGATCGGCTACCGATCACTATCTGCCGATAATCACTTTGGGATGTTTGATCGGCAGTCTCTAAAACGGCTGATCTTAAGAAAACGATCTCAAACTGATGATGCGTCTGCCGTGCGAGGTTTGGCACGACATGCAGCGGCACAGTCTCAGTCTCTGTTCGGCGCGGGTGAAAATTATAATGCTGAAGGTGAGGTACAATTCATATTTCTTCATTAAATAACTCAAAGTAATTTGAAAACTTTCTGTGAGACATAATTTCACAAACAGTGTGAGTGAATGACCGTGCTCTCTCTTTCCCTCTCAAAATGCGCAAATTACTTCAAATCACATCGCGTCTGCACTATAAGCGAGCTGCACAGTTGACACAGGAATTATCACTTGCACAATCGAAGTAGTGTTGCATCATCACTAAAGTTTATGAATTTCATTTGTTTAGAATTTTTGCCAGTGTTTAAAGGGGTCATATGATGTTGCTAAAAAGAACATTATTTTGTGTATTTGGTGTAATGAAATGTGTTTATGCGGTTTAAGGTTAAAAAAACACATTATTTTCTCCTGTCCGGCCGGAGTGACGAGACAAAAACATTAAAACCTATTATAAACGAGGCATTTGTTGCATCCAGTGGGGACATAATTACGGATTATGACTTACTATCTTTTTACGCGTTGTGTTGCATCGCGCCCCGTAAACATAAAACCATGTCTGCATTTGTGATCGGAGAAATGACAAACTACAAACGCTACTCTACACTGCTCAAAACTCGCGTTTGAATCATCAGTGGCAAATCCTTTAAATGAAAACGTACTTTACGTGAGTCAGAACTGCCGGCATTGTAGTCTACTCTTCCAGGATCAGGAAACAGTCCTCCATAAAATGCGCTGGACACATCTGAATATTTGGGTTGAAACTGACTGGAACAGTGTTGTAAATACAACTTAACCACTGATTTCTAGTCGTGTCCTCTTTTGGAAGGCCAAACAAAGTAGTTTCGCTTTCACAATGAAACACACGACGGGCTAGAGTGAGCGGAGGCCGGCTTGAGTGAGCGGCGGCGGACGGGCTTGAGAACGGCGCGGCCGGCGGATTTGACAAAGGAGCGTCCGGCGGGCTTGCGGCAACCACATGTGACGACCCCGGGCTGGACTCCGCTT